GTTCTAAGTGCTTCAGGCATGTACTTAATCATATGGAAAGAGTACACTCTGTTTGAGGTGACCACGACATCAGCCACTCAGAGCAGATTGTACATCACTTAATCACATAAAAATACTTTATTTTGCAAAATAATTTATCAGAACATAGAAAAGAACAGCATGTGTGGTGCTTTTAACAATSAGTATTAAACAGGATAAATTTCTTCACATCCATCCTTGATTAACAGATGGATTGTTAGATTGACTGATTATAATAAAAGCTTAAAACTTCCAAGGGAGGTAAATAGTTTTTATAYGCACTGTATGTCTATGTAATATAAGAAATGTTGCCATAATGACAACCTCAGGGTGATTTTTTTCCGTTTGAGAACAGATATTCAGTTCTTATAAATTATACAGTTTAGAAACTCAACTGGGTTTATTCACTATGAGGTTGTTCTATATATTTTCCAGTGTCAGTTTTTAGATGTTGACAACTTTTGATCAGTTCTAAGCAATATTTTTTTATTTCCATCTCCTTTGTTTTTACTTGGATTTTTACGGAGTCCGCGAGGGGACATGGGAMTTTTTTTTCTTTTGCGTTCCMACGCAGTAGTATTGCGTTACCTCACAGTACTTTTGCGTTACCTCGCAAAAGTATTTTATCACTGTTGTGCCTTCTGGTTTATTAACAAGCTCACATGTTTACCATTAGATACTGCTTTAACTCAGCTTCAGAATGAATATATCACACAGCCACACATGGAAGTATGTCATATGTTGATATTTTAACACAGTGCAGCCACGCAACATCAATGCAGATTTTACAAACTTGTGGCGACACATCCTGTTTTGGTAACCAGATATTTCAAAATAAAAGTCTGATTTAATTCAGTTCATATACAAAACAATCTTTTGCGTGGGAACGTAAAACTATTTTGCGAGGTAACGCAAAAGTATTGCGAGGTAACGCAGTACTATTGCGTGGGAACGCAAAAGAATAAAACCTCCCCATGTCCACTTGTGGGCTCCGCAGATTTTTTACGAAACTGYTCTTTCACAACTTTTTTCTTGCCTCCTTTTTATTCCACTCAGTAATTTGTCTTCCCTTTTGTCTGTTTCTTGCTTCAATCAGTGATCCATTTCTACTTTGTTTTTCCAACTCTTTTTTGCATTTTCCACTCATTTATTTTTTCTCCTTCTCCACTTTTGTTTTACCAGAAATTTCCCAACGAAGGTTTGGCCAACGTGGTGCGAAACGTCTTTGACTTCGATTCTTACAACAAAGACTTGCGGGACGTTTTGATAGATTCTCTGCACAAACACGGGATTCCCATCGGGGCCAAGCCAACTTCTGTCAAACTGGCTAAGGAGTAAGACAACAGGAGCACATGATACTAGGATCACATACACAATAAAATCACATAAAGGCATAGATAGAACACAGTGCAAGTCAGAATATGAAACAGTAACATTTTCAGCAGAACAAACAAATATATGTTATCTAGTATAATAATAGTAACAGTAATAATAAGAATGAACAAATTGCTTTATTTAAATGTTTAGAAAATCCATGTCTTGAGGTTATTTTCAGTTTGTTTATTGGAGTTACAACAAATAAATCATCATCATTATATAAAGGGGCCATATGTGTTTCTCAGACATATATTTAAATTCTATGCTGAAGAAATTTTGTAACTGATTAATTGAATATTAGATTCAATATTGTATTTTATACTTTCTGATCATTTCAGTCTGTAAAGTTGAAGCTAACGAAGAGCTGGTGTGTGTTATCATGTGTTCTTTCTTTTAGCCTAAACACGAATGAGTGACGCCTTAACAGAAAAGGTAACACCTCCAAGGGTGTAACCAGGAAGAGATGAACATTATAAGCTCAATTCATTATTATAGTAAAAAAGAAGTTGTCAGTATTTTGCAGAGTGTCTGCTCAGAGCAGAGCTCTGGTCTGTTTGGTTTGGTTCAGCCGAAGGTCTGACTGAGGCCTGTGTTGCTGAGCGCTGAATGTACCTGATTGGAGTCAGAAGATTGAAAATAAAGTTTTAAAGAAGAAATCCAGCCTGTTTATTCAGACATACCATTTTGAACAACATATATTTTTCCAACAATACCATAATAAAGTATCTATGTCACCTTTAGTNTGGAAGGTGGGATGTATTTTCATGTTGGAGGGTAAACGGAGTCTGACGGCAGTGGGGTTGATGATTCTCTCCACGGGAAACGGACCGATGAATCTAGGGGAAAGCTTTCTGGGAAAATCTTTGAGAATAATATCGCGTGTGGAGAGCCATACCTCTTGTCCAAGGATGGTGCGGCAGAACGATGACGATTGGCGAATCTCTGGTTTTGTTGTGCAGTGCGAAGAAGAGCTCTTTGAGTTTGGTTCCAGATTCGTCGGCAGCGTTGTATGTGGAGGTGAACTGAGGTGACCATGTTTTCAATGTCATCCTTAGGAAAAAGTGGTGGATTATATCCGAGAGAGGCTTCAAAAGGTGAGTAACCAGTGGCAGAGGAGGTGTGACAGTTATGTGCATATTCAACCCAAGACAGATGTTGACACCAGGAGGAGGGGTTGTTGTTAATAACGCACCTGAGAGTGGCTTCCAGTTCTTGATTGCACCTTTCGGTTTGTCCATTGGATTGAGGATGGTGTCCTGAGGAAAGACTGACCTTTGCCCCTAAAGCATTGCAGAACGCCCTCCAGACGTGTGACACGAATTGAGGTCCTCGATCCGATACGATGTCCGTGGGGTTTCCATGTAGATGAAACACGTGAGTGACCAGTAGTTGAGCAGTCTCGAAGGCAGTGGGGAGTTTACTTAATGGGATGAAATGTGCTGCTTTGGAAAATCGATCGACAATGGTTAATATAACTGTGTTACCTTCCGAGGGTGGTAATCCGGTGACAAAATCCAGAGCGATGTGGGACCATGGACGAGCAGGCGTGGGTAAGGGTTGCAAAAATCCAGCAGGTTGTTGTTTACTGTTTTTGTTTCTAGCACAGATGGGACATGCTGCAACAAACTCTTTKATATCTTGGTGCATAGTGGGCCACCAAAAATATCGTTTTGAAAATGACAGCATACGTGACATACCAGGATGACAGGTGAACCGATGATTGTGTGTCCAATCCAAAACCTTACTGACAATGTTCTTGGGAATGAACCGGGTTCCAGGGGGTCCAGTACCAGGGTCGGGTTCAGATTGTTGAGCCAGGCGGATCGAGTTTTCAATGTCCCAGGAAAGAGTACCCACGAAGCAGGAGGTAGGCAGGATGTTGATGTCCTTATCTGTTTTCTCTGCAGAAGAGAACTGTCTGGAAAGTGCATCAGGTTTAATATTTCTAGAACCAGGGATGTAAGAAATGGAGAAGTTGAACCGGGCAAAAAACAGAGACCACCTGGCTTGTCTTGGGTTTARCCTTTTAGCATTCTGGAGATAAGCTAAATTCTTATGATCAGTAAGTATGAGGAATGGGACCTCAGCACCCTCTAACCAATGTCTCCATTCTTCTAAGGCGAGTTTAATGGCTAACAGTTCACGGTTGCCCACATCGTAGTTTATCTCAGCAGGAGATAAACGACGGGAGAAAAAGGCACAGGGATGCATCTTATTATCAAGTTCAGACTTTTGAGATAGAACTGCTCCAACTCCTAGATCCGAAGCATCCACTTCGACAACAAACTGTTTGTGTGGGTCTGGG